CTGAATCTGCTATTTTGCTGTTATGTAAATATTCACGCATTCTTGTCATGAGCTATGTTCTCTGGACGACTATCTTTTCTAACCACCATTCGTAATGTCCTTATATAATCTTTTTTCATTCAATAAGTGCTTCTTGAATTTAATAATTTCCCGTAAGAACCCCTCGATTTTCATCTATTTCCATAAGCGCCCCCTCAATTTCCACTCTGTTTTCATAAGCGCCTCGTTTGAATAAGCGCCCCTCAGAAAGTGCAAAAAATATTTTAAGCGCCCGGGTGCTTATTCGCGCGAGTACGGTACTTTCATTCAGTATCCTTCATGTGTTTATCCCCAAAAGAATTGTAAATAAAGCTGACCGTTTATCGATGAAAGCTGCTAATTATATACATATATGAATCAAAGTTTTCCCGGAAGAGGACCCCCGCCCCCCCCCCCCCCCCTTTTTGGGGTTCATCGATTCATGGAAAAAAGAATACGTATGCAACTACTCAACTTCTTTTTTTGGAACATACATAATAGGCCTATTTACTGTAATAAGAATGAGAAAAATTTACCTGACCATTTTCAAGAGCAGAAAACCTTGAATTTTGAACTTAAAAGTTATTAAAAGACACTTCAGAAGTCGGGAAAGCTCATTTCTCACCATCTAGGAATCAGAATTTTCCGGGAGAAGGACCCAACTTTCTTTTGGGGGTTTTTTGTGAATATTTTGACCCCCCCAATTTGAACCCAGATCCACCCCTGAAGATGTACAAATGGGTTGATTGTGTATAGTATTGACCCTGCCTTTAGTACAACTTATTTATCTATTTTATTTGTTTTTTTTTTTACATCCAACAGGGAGGATATGCAAGTCTTTTTTTATTAGGCTTAAGGAGTGAAGTTAATTTGAGTTGAGTCCTTTGTGTTTCAGGTATGATGGCAAGAAAAGAGCTTAAGAAAAAGGGAAATGTGAGTGATGATGCAACAAAAGCTGATGAAACTGCTGCCACAGAGGAAACCAAACCAGATGCTTCAGCAGACACTAAAGATGAACAACCTTCAATGTCTGATAAAAAAGAGGCAACCGTGGATGCTGCAGCACATGAGGAAGCTGCACCACCAGAAAATTAAGCAAGAAAACCGATGCACAGCTTTCAAACTAAAATTTTAAAAAGTTTAGTTTAGTTAAAATTAAAGTTTTTATGTAGATGTATTGGTTGTTTTAGCAAATGATGTAGCTTGAATTGTGTTAGTTTATACATTCAATATTATGGGAAAAGAATCATGAAAAAATATGCCAAGATCAGATAATAATGTTGAATAAACTACATCTGGATTCACCATGGAAATGTCTCATCTAATCTGATTGTGTTGTTGCTAACATCAATTGAGATATTTTACTACAAATCACCATAGAAACTGGTCATGTGATCTGTATGTTTGCAACATTATGTATGAGGTGTACTACAAATTGCCATGGAAACTCATCAATTTATGATAATCTGATTGTGCTACTGTCTTCAGTACCCACACACACACACATATATGAGTGTGTATATATATATATATATATATATATATATATATATCGACCTATCCTTAGGTCTTTATCAAGGTACAAGTCTGTACATGCTATTCGTTTATTATTTATATATATATATATATATATATATATATATATATATATTTATATATATATTTATATATATATATATATATATGTATAAATTTCAGCAAATCCCTAATATTTCTCTTATTTTTATTTTTTTATTTATTTTTTTATTTTTATTATTATTATTTTTTTCTTATTTCTTATTTTTTTGGTACATTTGCATTTGTTTTGTTTTTTTTCTTCTCTGTCATTGTTAAGCGCCTCGAGGTTGTGTCAACGTGAGGCGCTATATAAATCCAGAATTATTATTATATTATTATTATTCAAGGTTTTGGTTTTGATAATGTAATAGTTGGTTGTGTCAACGTGAGGCACTATATAAATCCAGAATTATTATTATTATTATTATTATTATTATTATTATTCAAGGTTTTGGTTTTAATAATGTAATAGTTGGGGCAGATAGAATAAAATATTAGATTTTCACTCTAGTTTTTCAAAAAAGAAAAAGAATATATAAGGGAGGGAGGTTTCTTTTTATTTTGAAAAATCAGGATATGGAGTTGCCCTATTTAAATAAAAGAAACGTAAAATTATTTAAAACAAAGATGCACATTTGCATGTTTTGGTAAAGTTTATTATTTAAAATGACAAAATGCTCATATAACATCAGCGTCGTAGTTTGATATGGACTTTCCGCATACCGGGAGGGAGTGATAATCTATCGTTTTTTTCTATTGGCCCTTGATAGGTATCGGGAAACATCCATCATCCTGAGCGCAGATCATTAAGGGGGGGGGGGAGACAAGGGACACATCCCCCACATATATATATATATACTTTTCGTCCGCACTATTTCATAGGGCAAAAAGATTGTTGAAAAGAACTGCACAAATGCCCCAGTTTTAACAAAAGAGCTGTACAGCTAGAGTGCATCTTATTTTATAGCAAGTTACCAGTATCTCTGCTCACAAACGTCTGAATTACCTATAATACACGACTCGAGTGTGCACATGCCTTCATTATAATTTGAGAAGTATGAGAAAAAGTGTGTAAGATAAGATTATTCGGCACATGAAGTAGGTAAATTTTGACTATAGGCCTACTCAATGGTGATGTGATGATGATTAATTTTACTATATAAAAGTGTCATTTCCGGCCTCTAGGGGTAGTATTTCCTCAAATTTATCACAAAGTGTTCCCCCCCCCCCCACCAAACATTCAAAACAGATCTGCGCCCTTGTCCATCATTAAGTTTATACAAATAACACTACAGTTGTTTCGACTGGAATTTATATCTGATGAGACTACAGTATAAGACAGTGCCCCTTGCATATCAGCAGTGACGTATCTCGGGGTACGCCCCTCCCCCACCCAAAGGAAAAAAAACAAAACAAAATCGCACCCGTACCCAGTCTCCCCCAAACATCCCGCTCAAGTAGTTAAAAATTACCTTATTTTGCGAGCTGGTGCCCTCGCATAATCATCGAGCTCCCCACGTGACTTTCGCCCTCCCCTTCAGCTCCCCATTTCAAGACTAGATACGTCACTGCATATCAGTGAAGTAGACAATGTAAAAAACATCGTGTGACTATTTAACAATATAACCAACTAATATTTTATCACACTTTTTTCGTATGTGCATTTCTTAGCGGGCATAGGTTACAAGTTGACTCAAGTTCCAATGAGCTTGCCAATATAAATAAGCATTATAAAACAATTATTCAATCAATCATTATCATATGGGCGGGTCCATGGAGCGTACGTGCCTCCCGCACCCCCACCTCCACCCGGATTTTTTTTCAGATACGCCTCTACTATCATAAGTACCATTCCCAGGGGCGGATCAAGCGGTGGGGGAGGGGAGAATGAGGGCCCATACTTCCCATCCCTGTCAGCAGTCATGCCGAAAAATAAAAAAGAGGGAGAAAAATTTGAGTTTAAGAGAGGAAAGAGGAAAAAAGGGAGTGCACCTATGAGTGGCGATCTAGCAGTGGGCGAAAGGAGAGCTCGATTATTTATTTTCACCAACCATGATGGGACTGAGGTGGGCGTGGCGGGATATTGCACCCCCTCCCCCTCCGTCAGAAAATCTCTGGATCCGCCCGTGATTCCTACATTTACCTACATAATAGATTATATTAACACTTATACAAAAACGGTGGACCGAAATGTACTTTTCCCCATAATATGTCTCGACCTCTGGATAACTTTTTCGTAATAAGCTTGAAAATACCAATATAAAGACGATTAGGTAACCGAATTGATTGATTGTTTTAATGTCACTTCGATAGTACCACGAATTATGCTGCTCTGAAACATGATAAGGCCAATCTGAATCATTCAGATTGGTAAAATGACCATCGTTCTTTATGGTCCAATCGAATATCTGAATTCTTAGTAGGCCTATATACATTGGTTTGATAGATTTTAATACAGTACAGTACTAAAATGTGTACCTGATCTCAGGTAATTTTATAACTGATGTGCGCCCTCTAATCGAAGCGTAGACGCCCGAACCGGCAATATTGATGTTTGCTTGTAGGATTGCAGTTTAAAAGAATATAATTTAAAGGAGTTTAATGCCTTTTTTTATGTTGAGAATAATATCTTAATCAGGCTTAATGAAGGTTTTATTTTATTTGATTTTTAAAAATTTATAACATTTCAGAATAAACTGTTTTTCAAATGGTCCTGTATTTAAAGCCCCATTCCCGGCAAAATTTCACTAAAAATGACTTTTTTTAGAAAATATGCATTTGCATTACTCCAATTATTATAAATCATGGAAAAATATTGGCATGAATNNNGGGGGGGGGCGGGGTTGGGGTGGGGGGGAATGTATTAAATATGACAGGGCCGTTGTTATTTTATTTGTACAGGATTACACAGAAAATGTTCCAGGAGCATAACTCATACTTCAGGCCTACTATAGCAAAAAAAAAGTTGTTGATTTTTAACTTCTTTTTTCGGTAGGTCTAAAGCTGGCAATAAAGTGATGAATTTTATTGAACTTCCAATTGTCAAATTAAAACATAATGAAAAGCATTTGCAAAGTATGATATGGTGCGAGACATTTTCTGGCATCTACAGTAGGTGCAATGTTCTTGCAGCCAATATCCGCCAATGGGACACGTATATCAAGAGATTTAACTTAAAAATACACCTTATTATTGTTGGGAAATAATGAAAATGGCTTTAATACAAGAAGAATTGAAAGACTACCACAATAAGCTTCCGATAAGTCTTTTATATTTGAATAATAAAAAGCCCTCCTCATTTACAACTGTAACTAGGTGTCATAAGGCCATTAGCAGCCTATGTGTTCATTTCATTTCATTCGGGCAATGCCCGATTTATTCGCTCGATTAGGCCACCGGCTCATAGAGATTTTTTCTTAATTTAGAGGCAACATAGAGAAACTTAGATAAATTATTTTGTAAATTATTATAGCTAAACAAACTTCATAACTTATGACGGTTCGGGTTAACCCAGAAGTGTGATGGCAGTAATGACTTTCTTTCTGATTTATATGCAGGACAAATCAAACAGAAGTGGTAAACATCTTCCACTTCGTTGTTAAGCAAACATAAATTACATATATTACATAAAAGGCCCTCTGCATTGCGGCTGTTAACATTAAGATTATGTGATCCTGTCCTGAACATTGTAATACATATCGCTTATGTTTAAAATTTGTAACTAAGTTAATATAATGCTGAGTATGATAAGTAATTGGCTCCTTTAAATTCAAATAAAAATGCATACTTTGTGAACAGAAATTGTCATCTTCAAATGTTTGAACATAGTCTGTCCTCAAAGCAATCTAAAAAAGCGTTGATATCTGCTACACCCCGGTTAGCCCAACAAATCCAAAACCATACTGAAAAAGAGTTTTACATGGGAGACCCATTTGGTCTCTCGCAGCCTATTTGTTCCCTTAATGATAGACAAAATTAAACATTTCATATCGTTCTAAAAATCCCAAGATTTTATGAAAACTTAACAAAAAATCCAAAGATCCCAAGGTGTCATTAAAAATCCCAAGATCTTGGGATAAATCCCAATCAGTGGTCACAGTGATTTGAGGTCTTGTTTAATCGATTTCTGAAGATACATGTCTTAAACAGTTTTCAGTGGCAGATACAATTTGAAGAGGGGACCAGAGAGGGACCTCACATATGGAGGCGATACCACCTCAGCCCCAACCATGGTGGAAGAAAATTTATGATTATGGCACCTCCAAATGGCCGGAAACTCTAATACAATTGGAATATCATTTTTCTTTTTTTCCTTTTTTTTTTTTTTATTTTGAAAAATTTTTGACTGCCTTCTTGAATCCGCCACTGTAAGTGGCGGATCTAGGAATTCGAAATAAAGGGGGCAAGGGGCGGACTTTCACTGATTGAGAGTCTATAACACCTCAGCCTCCCTATGGTTTGGGCTGGGGTGGGGTGGAGGGGCAACACCGCTGGCCGGGGCGGATGCAGGATATGGCGGTAGTGGGGTGCGTGCAGGTACGCATATTTGTTTTGGAAGGTGGGTGACATTTTGTTAGTTCACCATGGTTGGGGCTGAGGCGCAAAAATTTGAGGATAAAGTACCCGGAAATGACAAGTAAAATCATCAAATCACCATTATATAGTCAAAATGAAGCGCCAACAAATTCTCATGATCTTTTATAAGCGATTTTCGGCAACCACAGAGATCTAATTAATATGTGTGATGTACCGTAGAAAATAAAACTTAAAAAAAACCATTGTCTTTGATGTATTTACTTTACTTACTTCAAAGCCGTGAGTTCACAACCACCACCTCAGCCCACCACCATGGTCGGGGATGAGGTGAGAAAATTTGAGGAAATAGTACCGTACATTTATAGATGGCCGGAAATGATATAGTAAAATTCATCATCATCACACTATCATTAGGCCTATATAGTCTAAATGAAGGGCCAGCAAATTTACCATGATCTTTTATCGGGGTCTTTCGGCAACCACAGAGATGATGTGCCATAAAAAATAAAACTAAAGAAACGTTTTCTTTGATGTATTTAATTTACTTGACCTACCTCAAAGCCGTAAGGCCACATCCACCTCAGCCCCACCATGGTTGGGGCCGAGGTGAGACAATTTTTGGAATAGGTCTACCTGTAGATGACCGGAAATTACACTTTTAAACAGTAAAATTCATCATCATCATCACATCACATTATGAAACGCCAACAATATTCTCATGATCTTTTATCAGCTATTTTCGGCAACCATAAAGATCTAATTAATGTGTGATGTACGGTACTATAGAATATAAACTTAAAAACATTGTCTCTAACAGAGAGGGATCTTGGAAATAGGGTCTCTGGTATTGGAGGGGTGAACTGTATTTGAAACCTACCGTCCACGCTTTACCATCAGTGTCCATGTCACAATAAGTGAGAAACGCGTCACATGATGAGCATGGTTTAATTTTGTAAACACCACTTTGACTACTCATTCGTTGCTTGACGTCAGTACAGTCGCGATACGGTATTGTGTACAGCAGTACATTCGTTGGGAACATCAGTGCGACTAGTTGTCCAGCTATACTGAAGAATAGGTCACACATTTGACTGTCTTCATCGTAAGCTATAGAGGAACATTCTTCAGAGTGACGAAAACAGAGTTGTACACAATCTGTCAAACCCCTTACTGACGAATGATGTAGTGAATGACTCGACAACAGACGTCCATTAGCTCTGGACATGCACAGGTCGTGAATTGCTGATTCAACTGTAATAACAAAAAACACTATGTTTTACCAAAATAATATATATCACTACCGAATTTAACTTCAATTTGCAGTGAGATTTCAACCTGAGGGGTTAAGATGCCCATCTTTATGTGCCGCCCTGGGTTCGCATTTTATTTTTTTTTTTAAAGGCATGTACAGATGTCTGCCTTCTTCTTTCTTTTTAATCGGAACAATATATTGTTTTTTTTTAATCGCTGAGGGAGGGACTGTTTTTATTTGGCAAGAATATTGTAAATATTGTATAAAAACTGGTTTAACTTTTTTGTTTTTTAAGAAAATGTATTTCCCGTCACAAAATTGCATTGTTTTTTTATGCTGTTAAATAAATGATGTGCCCTAAGTTACGGAAGCGTATTGCTGCCAACTAAAAAAAATAAAATTTAGATATTATCTCGTTATTACGAGATATTATCTCGTAATAACGAGATAATTATCTCGTTATTACGAGACAATTATCTCGCAATTACGAGATATTATTATATATATATAGATATATATATAGATATATTGCTGCCAACTAAAAAAAATAAAATTTAGATATTATCTCGTTATTACGAGATATTATCTCGTAATAACGAGATAATTATCTCGTTATTACGAGACAATTATCTCGCAA